CATTGGTTTCGATTTAATGGACCTAATTTTCATTGTAGTCTTATAAGTTATATATGAATTTACCACTGCTGCATCAATCAAATAGTAAATAATCTTCATATACCATCTTCGGGATTTCCATGAAATTTGATAAGAAGCATGAAGTTGATCGAATAGATCCACTCCACCCATATAGCGATTGTAATCACTTATGGCTTTTGGACACTTAACACTTTCTTGTTCACCATTCGGTTTTTCTCGCAAAACTGAAGTAATCTCAAGTGGATTATGCATAGTACTGCCGACTAAAACGCATTTGCGCCCCCGATCTTTCCATTTAACAACAGACATATCATTGGACATAAAATAATCGTGTTCTCCCATTTTCATTGTTTTGTCCTTTCTCATTTGTGTTGGAAAGCCTTTACGATTTATTCTAAAAGTTCCACAGCAGAACAAATCATAGGTTAACATTTTCTTAAGAAGAGGAAAACTCGAGAAAAAATTATCGAAATAAATGCAGTAGTTTGCGCCTCTAAGAGACTCGGTAATGTCTAATACCGTTTTAGCGCCTAACCCATATTCAGCATGTTGTGATTGAGATTTGCCTTCATATATGCTAAATTTGTGCACGTATCCAGTTTCGGAGCATGCAACGACCCAAACTTTAAAGCCTCTTTTTATGGGCTTTTTCGGCATATATTGTTTGAGAGAACTTCGCCCCTTGAAAGCAACCATACTTTCATCTACCGCAACATTTCTACTTGTATAAAAGTTCTCTTGAAAGCGTTGCTGCAGTTCTGTTATCAAAGGCCTTACTTTCAACAGTTTGTCAAAATTGGGGTGATTTTGATTTCTTTCCATGTTTTCGTTATTATTTAGATGGAGAAAACGAAGAATGAAGTTTAAGAATCGTTTTTAAAAATTTGCGAAACTCTTATCACGTGCATGTTAATATCAGTTGACCAATAATGTCTCAAACTAGGTAGTTTATGAAACCCCATGATTATAAGAACCCCTAAAAATGCTTTCAGTTCTTCCTCAGTTAGTTGTGAGCATAGAGATTTGACTGTGTAATTATATTAGCTATAATATCTTTGCTCATGAACAAAGAAAACACGTCGAATGGTGAATTTATATTGACCGGTTTTGTTGGGCCAAATGGTCTGGTAAACGGCGCATTCGAATATTTTTGTGCATCAGAAGCGTTCTTTCTTCATTTATATGTATCATCGCACTTTACTGTGTTCTCTTGGTTCTCTTCTATTTCGTCTTCGCCTGAGGAAGTATCGACGTCATCAAAAATACGATTTGTTCTTACCTGAGCGTGGAAAGCTATATCATCCATTGAGTCATCTGAATCAACATCAAGAAATTCAACCTTGTCATCATTAGACAATGAAATAATAGTCGCGTTGGATGCAACCGACGTTCGGTTGGAAATAGGAAGATTATCTTCTGCATCAGAATCACCCACAAAATCTGAATTTATGGCTTGTTGATATGGAATACCATCTATGTAATCAAATAAATCATCCTGAGTCATATTTTGTAAATTTTCAAGTATATTGCGGTGTTCCATTTTACTGCAAAAGATACGTACATTGTTGTATACAAATACTTGAAAAATTTAATTACTTGATCTACCGCTCAGCAATTTAATTCTTGGAAATATTATTCAAGTAATTCAGATTTACTTAAAAAAAGAATATAATTGTATAGATTTAAAATAAACAAAAGTGAAAATACATTTCAATAGAACAATTGTAAAATCAGCATGTGCTACTTTGAGGTTATGTTTAGTAAATCAAGATATATCATCTTAGCGCCAATAAAATCTGAATAGATAATAAAAGACCATAATACTCTGATGTGTTACCTTGAGTTTGATGTATAAATCTTTTGTAAATTATTTTTCTAACTTTTACAAACGGCAAAAACCTGTGATCACGTTCAACGGTAACTTACAGAGTATGATGGGTTGTGGTTGGCGAATCGACCACATTGCTGCCACGTTGCCGTATTTTGTTCTGTGGTGTTCATTTTGGGTACAATTCATTTACAAACACTGAATTTGCACTTCGGTAACTTTTCATGTCAATTACTAGCTCATAAGTATTAATAAGAGCAGTGGTCGAAATATCGACCACAGACCTATAAAGGAATAAATAAACAAAATATATCAATATTAATAAATAATGTTAAAAAAACTACAAACAATAGATTATTTAATTGAAATTTAAACAAAATGCATCCAGAGGACTATTTTTATGACCCGTGTACTGATACACAAAATTAAACTGCGTCTACTGAAACGTTAAGAGGTTTATATTTTATTCCTATAATTTTTTGCTATGAGGTAATATTTTCGGACTATTAAGAAAAAACTATCCAAAATCATGCATTTCGTAGGCAAAAATTAAACATTTTCAAACATGAATAATTCGAAAACTTGACTCATTAGGAAAATGTACTAAAACATTTTTCCCTTGAAATTAGTTGTATCTCTCTTGTAGTTTCTATATCCTAAGTAGGGGTGGAATACACCCCCAGAGTAAAAGCATAAATCAGCACTATAAAATTTTTGTTCTTTGACATCCTTCCTTTGTATGTGCCGAATTTCACTTCAATTGATGCGGTGTTTTAGAATACCGACAAAAAAACGTGAATAAATCGACTAATACTGAACGCTCTATCTAATTCTATTTTATTTTTAACATATACTTTAAGTTATATTAGATAAAGATATCAAAATCAACCTCAGATAAGACTCCTTTAAGAAAATCTGTACCACAACTCAAGCATTTACTCCATTCCCTCTTTAATTCGAGTTTTAACAAGGTAGTAAAATATTTTAATCAAATTGGGATAGATATCCAGCGTTGAATTTCGCACAATCTTTGCGATTCTATTTAAACTCGTCAACTTAAAAGCTAAAATACGGGTCAGCTTGCCCTCTTCTTCCTCTCTTCTCCTTTTAAACTTCAAATAAGCAATAACTTTTAATTAAATTAGTTTTGGGAAAAACTTACATGCGAAACATCCGCTTGCAAACATTCATCCAAATTGAAAATAATAAATCCAGTTACAACTCTACAAAATAACAAAAATAGTTTTTATTTCGAAGATTTTAAACTCTGAGACTGTTTTTGGGACGTTTTAGTTTAAGTTATGCTCAAAAGTATAAAAGTAAGTTAGTAAAATTAGTAAAATATATTTTACCAAAGGAAGAGAATACAGAATGGGAAAAAAGAAATAAAAATAGAGGAGAAGGTACAAATATGGGCTATGCTACTAATATGGGCTATCGCAATTAATATGAAATACACACCACCATCTATACGTCAATAGTTTGACTAGACACTCTTTAGTCTAAAACAATAACTAATAAACTTACAGTGACCCAGGTCCAGTGACCGTTGAAACAACCACATACCACATGTTAGTGTTGACGCTGTTCAAGAAATTTTTGAGATATGTTTTTATTTCAATTTTTTTTTTCGGTGAAAACTAAGAATAAATTTAATATTTTATCACACATCGTAAGTGAAAGGTTGATATTTTTATAATATTTTGACTTTTTCTTTTAATTTGTGTTGCATTTTAGTTATTAATATTTGAATATATGTTTGGTTATGCTGCAATATAGGCTAGTGTGGTGCTACAAATATGAGCTAGCCCATATTTGTGTGGTGCTACAAATATAAACTAGCCCGTATTTGTATCAGTTTAGTCTCCAGGGTTTTTTTCTTTTCAGAATGCCTAAAAAAAGTATTGTAAGTTCCAAACATCGAAAGTCCACGGATCCAGATAGCATGAAATCTGCTATTCAAGCTGTGAGAGATAAAACGATGGGTACATCAAAAGCAGCTAAAACTTATAATATTTCTAGATCGACAGTATAAAAGTTAGCCTTCAAATGAAAACGAAATTCTATGGTTTAACGCAGACTGATATCAAACGAAAAGCATTAAATCTGGCTGAATCAAATGGATTAAATAATACCTTTATGCAGTTAAAAAAAGCTGGTATAGGTTGGCTAGATTTGTTCTTGGCGCGTCATAAAAATCCATTGGCTTTAATAAGATCAACTGGAACGTCTTTTGGACAAACAGCAAACTTTAACAAAGAGAATGTTCAAATATTTTTTGATCTTCTGGAAAAAGCATATAATAACTACAATTTTTTCAGTAATCAGGCTTACAACCTAGATGAAACAGGCCTAACTATTGTGCAAAATAAAATTGCATCAATAGTGGGAAGCAAAGGCAAGAGACAAATCGCGTCGCTGACTTCGGCTGAGAGAGGATTATTGATAACTTTATTTGCATGTATGAGTGTTGGAGGGAATTTTCTCCCACCCATGTTAATCTTCCCAAGAAAGAATATGAATGTGCAACTTATGAAAGGTGCTCCTCCTGGATCGATATCAGCCGTTCATCCTAGTAGTTGGGTGCAGTCTAATTTATTTACACAGTAGTTTAAACACTTCATAGATACCGTTAAACCATCTAAAGAGTTTCCTGTACTTCTTATATTGGATATACACTACAGCCATACTCGCAATTTAGATGTGATTAATCTGGCAAGGGAGAATAACATAGTTATAATTTCATTACTTCCACATTAAACACACAAACTGCAACCGCTAGACAAAACTTTAATAGGAAAGCTCAAGGCATACTATAGCGAAGAAATTAGGAAATGGTTACTTCATAACAACCGCGCCCTCTCTCAGTACGATATTGAAGAACTTTTTGGCAAATTATACGTTAAAAGCCAAACTGGGGAAATTGTTGTAAATGGATTCCGCGCCACTGGAATTTATCCATTGAATGAGACTGTGTTTTCAGATGCAGATTTTATTGCAGCAAAAATTGAGAGTAACAACCACAGCCCTGTAGATCTGTAAGATATTGAAACCTGCTATCATACCAAAAACACCAGAAGCCAGCAAAGTCAGTGAACCAGGTCCTTCTGGTTTGCAGAAGTTTGTAAGTTCGCAAGATATTGAACCTGATATGATCCTACTAGAAACACCAGAAGCCAGCAACATTAGTGAACCAGGTCCTTCTGGTTTGCAGAAGTTTGTAAGTCCGCAAGATATTCAACCTGATATGATCCTACTAGAAACACCAGAAGCCAGCAACATTAGTGAACCAGGTCCTTCTGGTTTGCAGAAGTTTGTAAGTCCACAAGATATTGAACCTGATATGATCCTACTAGAAACACCAGAAGTCATCAACATTAATGAAACAGGTTCTTCTGGTTTGCAGAAGTTTGTAAGTCCGCAAGTTATTGAACCTGCTATCCTACTAAAAGCACCAGAAGCAAGCAACATCACTGAATCAGGTCCTTCTGGTTTGCAGAAGTTTGTAAGTCCGCAAGATATTGAACCTGATATGATCCTACTAGAAACACCAGAAGCCAGCAACATTAGTGAACCAGGTCCTTTTGGTTTGCAGAAGTTTGTAAGTCCGCAAGATATTGAACCTGATATGATCCTACTAGAAACACCAGAAGTCATCACCATTAATGAACAAGGTCCTTCTGGTTTGCAAAAGTTTGTAAGTCTGCAAGTTATTGAACCTGTTATCCTACCAAAAGCACCAGAAGCAAGCAACATCAGTGAACCAGGCCCTTCTGGTTTGCAGAAGTTTGTAAGCCCATTTCAAATATCTCCAGTGCCGTCGATAATGCCAGGAAAAAATCTACACCCAGATGGTGGTCATTAAGGGTGTCGTATAATTTGCGGAGCAATGTTTTGTGCCTTACTGTGTCATAGGATTTGTCAAATCTACGAAAGCAGCCTGTTATTTTTTTAAGCTTTTTTTTCAAAGCCCTCTTCAATGTATTCTGTTAGTTCGGGGACTTGATTGGTTCAAGATTTGCCGGGTCTGAATCTTCCTTATTGTGGGATGAAATGCTTGTCGAAATTTTTTTCTATTCTGATGTAAGTCCCTCGTATAGTTTGAAAAAGTAACACAACAGCGAAATAGGTCTGTAAGTACTTGGGTTTTTTGCATCCTTTCCTGGTTTTAACAAGGCTAGCATTTCCTCCATCATTTTGAAATTTCGCAGGTTTTGCAGTACGTGTTATAAAATTTCAAGATCCAGTTTTTTGCTCCTTGCCCAGATGTTTTATTGGTTCACTGTATATATCATTCAAACCTGCAGCTTTCCTGTTTCTTAACCTATTCATGCCGTCGTGGAGTTCTTCTAGTGCAAAAGAAGTTCCTGATGATTTGTCTCCGAATCCAATCTTCTCCTAGTATTTGGGTCCTATATCGGTTCGTAAGGAGATCTCCGCTAAGTTTTTTTACAAGGTTCCATGCTATTTTGGTACTATGTGTCACGTCCATTTTTTCTAGGGACTCAATACACTTTTCCTATCTTGCTTGTCTTAGCTGCTGTAGTAGTACTGCTTCGTAGTCAACCGCTTTTTGGCTAAAAGGGTCAGTGGAATAGAGGGTTTCATATGTTCTCATTAGTTCTTTGTATTGTTGTCTACATCCTCTAAAGACAGCTTTTCTAGACACATTTTTGAGTACCCCTACAAATTTTTCGTAGTTCTTTACTTTTGATTCAAGATATAGCAGCTCAGAAGATAGCATGCCAGCATACTTTTGCCTGTTTGCTTTTTTTAAGTTAAATCTCCTTCTGAATGGAATACCTTGTGGTCTGACAATTGGAAACATATTTATACCAATTGGTCTATGCTGAGTTTTTGGTATGGAACCATATGTTACTTTGGTACATCGGTCTTCAAAGATGTTACTTGAAAAACTGATATACAGGTTATATCCTCTATTCCAAACTTTGTTTTGAAAAGATGGTGGAAGTTTAGAATCACGGATTAACGCGAGGCCAGTCGTTTCGGCCCATGCTTCTACTGCTTCTCCATTTGCGTCCAAATTTGAATAGCCACAGAGTAAACCGTAACCGTTAAATTCTCCCAGTCCTAGCTGATTGGTTTGTGATTGGAAGTTAGTCGGGGGTGATAATATAAAACGCTGGTTTGGGGGCTTGTATACTGAGGTTATTGTGCATTTTCCGATCTCAGTGGTTATTATCTCTATACCGTGTACATTTGTTGTTTCCACAGATGAAACTATGGTTTAAGTTCTTATAAATACCGCGTTCCCATGCTTATTGTGTGATATCTCCGCAATCAGTTTCAGTTAGGTCTCTGTGGGTTTCATAGATGCACAATACCCCACATTTCGTGTTCTTGCGGAATTCTAATAAGATGTCTTGTTTGGCTCGATATTTATGCTCGCTATTGTCAGTGTTGGCTCTGAGAAGAACCGTTGTGGCTTGATCTTTGCCATCTGATTTGGTTTGGTCCGGTGTTGAAAGGATTAGCCGTCTACTAGTAGAAGTTTCCAGGTGACGCCGTGAATAGTGTTTACTTTGTAGTTAATGTTGTAGCACTATTGATCTCGCGGATGCTCCTTTCTTGTCCCCCCTTCCTTACATTAGCAATATTACAATACTTGCTAATCATGCAAAGTAAAATAGAGGTAAGGGGATGTAGAGGAAAGCGAAGAATCTTATGGTTAAGAAATCGCTGTGAGTGATTTGATCACACCTTTATTCAGTTAATCAGGCTGGCAGTGTAAGGAAGACAAGTGCCACCTTATTCAGCATATTATCTCTAGCATGAGTTATAGCTCCTATATATATATGTATATATATATATATATATATATATATATATATATATATATATATATATATATATATATATATATATATATATATATATCAACTTTATCTTCTTGTAAAATTCATCATATTTGCATTACAATCATTTATTATCCTTTTTTTCTTATTGTAACTATATTAAATGTCATGACCCAAACTGCATATTCATAATAGAATCTTGAACATGTAAAATTTACCTCGTTTTGTAAAACGAGGTGAATAAATCTAAAATTTAATAGCTAGATGGAAAAGCATAGTTTATTCGCGGCATCTTTTTGCGAGAAACATATTTCTTCTGGATAAGTAAACTGTCCAGATGCTTGTAAAGATTTATAGAGTACACTCCGATGCTTTAACTTTTCATTTATTTAAAGCCCGTTCTTATGGTCTTGAATTGCTGGTATTTATTGAAATTATTGTTCCTTTCGGTTTATTCTCGATGTTTATATGTTGTGAATATGGAAATAAATCGAAACGTAATCTTTAGGAAACATAAACTAATTTTTGGAGGTATTTACCACGAAAAATATATTTTTCTAAATGTCTTCGTAATTTCATTATTGCTTGTAGGCCAGACTTTAAGGTAAATATACTTTTGTTTATATTCATTTGTCTTCTTTGATGGCTCTATCTCTCATTATATGCCGTACAATATCTTCCCAATATAGTTCTTGCCGTACAACTGAAGGCCTTTCCCTTCTTCTCCTTTGTTGTGATATATAATTTAAAGCTTTCTTTGGCCATCTATCTTAATTTATTCACTTCACGTGACCATATCACACTAGTTGTCTCGTTTCAATTCTGTCTACACTGAAATATACAGTATTTGTCCTCCTTCTAATATCTTCATTCCTGATAACATTCATTCCGTGACCATAACACACTAGCTGTCTCGTTTTAATTCTGTCTACACTAAAATATACAGTATTTGTCCTCCTTCTATATCTTCATTCCTGATATGGTGCTTTTTGGACACACCACACGTTCTCCTTAGAAAATTCATTTCAACTACTTCTATTCTTTTCTGTCGTTTTTCGTGATCTGCCAAACTTCTGCCTCATAAGTCATAATAGGCTCTACCAAGATTCGATAGTATGTCAATTTCGATTCTTGTCTAATATCTTTAGACCATAGTTAAGAGTTTAGAATGTTTAACTCTTGTTTTCCCTTCTGCTCTGTTTTCGATGTCTCTTTTGGTAGTGACATCTTTAGATAATATAGATCCGAGATATGTATATTCATTGCATGTTTTTGTGTTTCTAATTTCTAACTCAGGACCTTCTTCATCATCTCCTATTTTAAGACCCTCTGTCTTTGACATATTCATATTGTGGCCCCATTTTTTATATTCTTTTTTTAGTTTTCTAAACATGTAGTTCATCATTCGCTACGACTACCTGATCATCTGCCTAAAATTAAGTTGTTAGACGTTTACCACCGCCTATGTCTATTTCCACTCCGAATACTTGTTTCCTCCACTGCTCTTGTGATGATTAAATATATATATATATATATATATATATATATATATATATATATATATATATATATAATCAATAACCCTTCTACCCTAAGGTGTTAGTTGTAAAGTCTCTTTTAGTTTTCATATACAAACTTCTTTCAATTCTTCTTGTTGCTCGCCAACTTCTTCGCTTGCTTCTTGGTGACTCCTCTCCTGTCTAGGATGGCGACAATTTCATCGTCCCAGGTCTTCATGGGTCTGCCCCTCGGCCTTTTCAAGGTTCTTCTCGCTTCCCACACTTGTTTCACTTGGCTTTTTTTATCCATCCTTACCATGTGGCCGTACCATCTCAGTTGGGCTTCTTCGATTTTCTTCTCTATTAACTGGACTTTAAGGCGTTCTCTTATTTCATTGTTCCGTATCCTGTCCATTCTGGTCACCCCTAGTACTCTTCTTAGATACTTCATTGATATACTTTGCAGTTTACTTTTTAGTCTGGTGGTGAGCGTCCAGCTTTCACATCCAAATATTAAGATAGGTACAAAAACTGTGTTGTAGATAGCTATCTTTGCTTTTTGGAAAACTTCTTTTTTCGATAGGAATGTGCTCTTAATTGCGTGGTATATCCGGGAAGCGTTTGCTATTCGATTATTTATCTCTGCTTCTTGTGTACCCCTACTCTCTAGTTGCACTCCCAGGTATTTGAAGGTTTCTACTTGTTCTAAAGTATAGTTATTGATTTTAATGTTTGTATGTTGGTCTGTTTTCCCACATACCATCACTTTGGTTTTACTTTCATTAATTCTCAGATTGCGTTTCTCAAGTTTATCTTTCCATATTTGGAGGTTTCTCTTAAGTGCGTCCTCGTTTCTTCCAAATATGACGAGGTCATCTGCAAATGTGCACTCCGCAATCTGTATCATTTCCAGGTTTCTATGTCCAACAAATAATCTCGATGTTTCTTCTCTAGTTTCCTTCATTACATAATTTAGTACAATATTGAACAGGATGGGGCCCAGTACACCTCCTTGTCGTAAGCCATCATTGACTCTAAACTCTTCTGATTCCATATTATCTGTTCTTACCCTGTTTCTTGTGTTCTTGTATAGGCTCATAATAGCTTTTCTGAGTTCGTCGTCTACTTCTCTGTTTCTTAGGCTTTTGTCTATTTCAGTTCGCGGGGTTCTATCAAATGCTTCGATTAAATATATACATATTGTAAATAAGATCGGAGATAGACAACATCCTTGTTTAAGCACCTTTGTTATTGGAAATGATTCAGATATAAAGTTTCCTTCTTTAATGACACTTCTTGCATTTTTGTATATATTTGCGATAGCATTTACATTCTCTCTACTAAGACCTGCTTTCGTCAATGTTTGGTTTTTCAAAGGTACTGTATCGTATGCCTTTTCTAAATGTACAAAAAGTAGGTGGGTAGATAGATTTTTTTTCCCCCCGTTTTTCTACTGCAGAACGAATATACCATCAGTGTACGATTTTCCTGCACAAAATCCATTTTATTCTTATATGTATTCTTATACAATATTGAACTCATTTATCCAACATTCTAATTATCAGGGATATTTTGTCCTTTTAAGCATTTGTTAAATAGTTGACAAAGCACCCGGACCAGAGGATATACCCAGATAATTGTTTAAGTACGTAACGAACAAATTGTACGAATTTCTTCTATTTCAACTATTTCTAACTCTTGAGTTATATATGAGTCGAATATATGAAAAGGTTTTAAAGAACCGAATCAAGAGAGAATACTTAGGTTATGAAGCAGAAGAACAAGCAGGATTTCTTACAGGTTGACCCATTATTGACCACATTTTCTCCTTAACCCAGATAATAGAAAAAAAATGGCACCGAATCAAGAGATTCATATATTGTTCGTTGACCTAAGAAAAGCCTACAACAGCGTTCTACTGAAGAAGCTGTGGCAATCAATGGAAAGCACGACTATTAGTATAGAATTAATAAAAGCCGTCAAAGTGCTATACAACCAACCAATAACAAAAATAAAAGCAGGGACACAAATAACAACAGAATTAGTAACATCAAAAGGATTAAAGCAAGGATGTCTGTACCCAACTTAAAATATACCTCGAAAGTGGTTTAAAAAGATGGAAACAAAAATGCAGGACAATGGGGATAACGCTTACCAACACTATCGTTAAACAGCATTTTATGGGACCAATCCATCAGCAAAGAAAATAAAAAGGGGATATATGAGACTATAGTAAAAAGTATCACTTTTTACAACTGTGAGGTATGACCACTGAAAGAACACGCTAAAAGCAACGGAAATGGATTTTTGGAGAAGAGTCGCAGAAAGATCTAGAAGATAAAGGATTACCACCGAACGCATTAGAGAAATAATGGGAATCAAACAAACGTTCACAGATGACCTAACAACAAAACAACTTATGTAATACCAAAAGAAATATTAAAATGACAACCAGAAGAAAAGAGAAAACGAAATAGACCGAGCGAAAGTGTAAGCGAAGGAATAAATAAAGAACTGAGAAGAGGTAGATAGAAGAAGACCTATAGAACAACTGGACTAAGTAGCGATTTGAAGTCGGAAAACAGCGGAGAATGTTATAAACCGACAAGTACTAGTAGTAGTAGTAGTATATAGTTGAACCAACATTTCATATAATATGTTTGGTTTATACTATACCAACTCAATTGGGATGTCTTCCTATCCTGCTGCTTTACCGTTTTTCGATCTTTTGAGGACATTGCTTAACTTAAATTCGGTCGTTATCTGACTTATTTGTGTAAATTCGGATATTTATTTTATTTTGATCTCTTGAAATTTACATCTATCCCCTGTCAGAATAGTAGCATCTGATCCAGAGTGGACGGCTACGAACAGCATCTGACCTAGAGTGGGCGGCTGATACAGAAACCAACCCGTCTGGCAAGCGAAGTTTTTAAGTGCCAAAAAAAACTTCTTTAGGAAACATGTCCAATTATGAAAAAAATGAATTAGGACCTCAGGTGGGTAGAGTTACTAACTCGGAATCCCAAACCGGGAAACCGGTTCGCCCCAAGGATTAAATCTTGGAACAAAAAATACAGTTAAAATCAGGAAATTTCGTACACTATAAAGGTAATAAAGAAAACACCAACAATGGAGTAGGATTTATAATAACTAAAAAAGTAGTTAAATACATACAATCTACCAAGGGCATATCAGATCAGATACACGACGTTTAAATTAAAAACACTCTTAAAAATCATACAGGTGTACGCTCCAACAAGTATCTATAGCGATGAAGAGATTGAACATTTCTACGAAGACATAACAACAGCTATGGAAGAAAAGAAATCAAAATTAATGCTCAAAACCGGGAACTTCGGGAAAACAAGAAAAACAGACGTACGAAAAGCGAATAAAGGAAAAATTGTCGACCAAGGAAGATATAGAACACCAACATATCGATAAAATAAACATGACATTTACTGAAACTCTAATGAAAGTGGGTAAAGAAATAGCACAGACAACAACAAAAAAATAAAGTTTCATATCCCAGGAAACAAAGATTCTTATGACCATAAGAAGAACATTACTAGAAAAAGGGGACAGAAATAAAATGGAATACAAATAAATAAACAAAACTATTAGAAAAAATATCAAGGAGTGTAAACGGAGAGTACAGGAAGAAAAGATAGAGAAAACAATTGAAAAAAATAGAAACATGAAGAGCTTAAAGCAGAACTTGGGAAGCATAAAAATTAATAATATATAGAATAAAGAAGGAGTGGACACTAATAATACAAAAGAAATTTTACAGATAACGCATGAATGTTATACAAATCTCTATAAAACAGAACAAAAACCAACCCAAGCAATCCGTAATCAGTTACAACTGAAAATAAAGAACGTTATCTCTGACCTACAACCAGAAATCAGTAAAAATGAAATAAAAAAGGCACTCAAAGAAATGAAGAATAACAAATCTCCTGGGAAAGATGGAATAACTGTAGAAATGCTAAAAATTGGGGGGAAACTACAG